ATCCCTTAAGGGCTCCTCAAGAGCTTTAACTGACCTTCTGGGTCAGAAGATGCCCTGTGCAAAGTACATGTTTGGCCCTACTTGAAGAAACTCTCTCTCCTGAGGGCAGCATGCAAAGTGCTTAATTCTAAGTATACGCTTAAGTTTCATTGAAATCAGCACAATGCACAGTGAAGAGAGCTACAAATACCACAAATGCAGAAAAAGGCCACATTGTGGCTTTCATCGTTCGGTAATGAATGACGGACTGAGCTCTTTCTGGACTTTGTTGATGCTGAGAGTCGGTCGACCTTTGCCATCCCTCCTCAATTTGGGTGCCCTCCTCCGAGTGCCAAGGTCATTGTTGTTGTTAGAGGCATTGCAATTCCTCGGGATTCTCCTAGTCCTGCAGCCCCTTTCACTCAAACAGCCCCTGCGTATTATCCCACAGCTACTATAGAAATGGGGCTGAAATTCCTCAGCTGTGTGGTGTTCTATGGCATTTAAAATAGTCAGGTAGCTGAAAGTCATGTATCTGGTCCTCGTATGTCACCGAAAACAGAACCCTGGAGTTCCAGTTCCAAAATCCAGGATGGGTTTCAAGCCAAGGCAGTATCTCTATCATTTCTTCAGCTATCACTCTAACCTCATTGCACTGCCACTGAACGCAACTGATAACTAGTTTTGAGTCCAATAGCGTGACATCAGGATCCATTTATATATTTTTCTCTTTTAGAAAAATATTTATTATGGTTCAAATGGGAACATTAGGGAGGGGGAACTTAAGCAAATCAAAGACAATAAAAGTTGAAATGATTTTTTACTCCTTTTAAGGGTAAAATCCTAACAAAGTACCACTAGAAAGAGGGCCATTATTGGAAGGAAGAACTAGGAAAAATCTAAGCTGTACATTAAACAATTTCATCCATGGTCAACATCTGCTCTTTGCAGAGGAGCCAGAAATGCAACCATAAGGACTCTATCAAAGTCACAGTAGTGCCAGAAATCCAAAACCTGAATGGAAAGATTTGGAGTCGCATCTTAATTTAAAGGATGTGATTGATCAATCTAGGCAAACAAATGCAAGGATATATAAATAGTGAGTTCAGCAGGGGCATTACTATCATTAGTGCCTTAATTTGTTTTCTCTTTGTTTCAGTGGGGGAGTTTTTTGCTGCTTTCTTGAAACAAACTTGATAAAAAGATCACTTAAAAAAAAAAATAAGGCAGCACACTCAACACAGCATTACCTGATGCTAACAGAGGCCTAACTTAACACCCACAAACTATTTTCCTTAGCTGAATAACTGGCGTTATTTTGGACTATAGTTCTGAAAGAGTAAACCAAAAAAATTACAATTTTTCAGTCAATCAAAAAGACAACACAAAACTTACCATATCCTGTCAGATATTTTKCTCAGTTGTATAATATTATTTTTTGCAAGATGTTGGGTTGGCTTTAGTTATTTCCATTTAAGCGTAACAAAACAAGAAAACACTTACAAAATATTAAGCTGAAAACATCTACTTACTCAAATCTTTTTCTTTAATCCCTAGTTACGTTATTTTTTCTCACAACAGGATATGTAAAGCACCTGAGCTTTTTGAAATGAAAATAATCTCTTYTTTAAWCCAAAACCAAAGGCACTAAGTTGARGGACAGACACCATGTTATAGCACCAAMACTTCACYAGCTGACTCCTCAGCAGTCAATTCTGGAAGAAATAAAACACCAAGTCCTTCAACTTGCACAGGCCAAGGTACCTCTTGCTCAGGCTAGCTGGCGCTTTATACTGAATAATTTACTGGAAATCACCTGGGCTGTAGGGAGATCCGGAATGCAACGCAGGTTTGCAAACAGAGCCACCAAACAAACTGCCTTGTTGATAGCCATGTGAGCAGCATCCCCTTGAAGGGCTCCCAAGCGTGTGGGCACGTGCATGAGTGCTGGTCCGAGCCTGTGGGCAGCTCCTGGGTGTGCAGCAGGAGTCCGAACAGTGGCTGCCCTCGCTTTGCTCCCACCTCGACCTCACGCACAGTTTATCTCACGCTAAGCAGCAGCACTGCAGGCTCCCAGTGCTACAATWCTGGCAGAAATGGGTGAGTAGATGATAACAATAACTGCCTACTTGCAATTCCTGTTGGACTGTCATAAAGAGCAGCCGGACAGTACTGGTCTTAAAAGTATTTCTGGAGGGAAAATTGCACCTCTGGTGATGGGAAGCCATCAGTCACTTAATTCAGCAGAGTTGACCTCTGGAACCTTAAGCTAAGTACTTATCCTTCCTTAACAACCAATTTTGGGAGCAGGTCCTCCAAAGTACAAAGTAACCTCAGATGCTTTCTTTCCTTTCTTTCTCTTTTTTTTTTWAATTAGAATTAGCGGAAAAAGTTTATTGCAAATATATTTTTATTAGAGATCACTGACACGTTTAATGTTAGCCTATTTTTTAATCAGTTTTCCTCATAAATCGTAATGCTTGGAACCCTTTTCCATGTGTTTGAAAAAGTARAGAGATAAACTGATTTTTCTGTCTGCAAAGGTGTGAGAGGATGGATGAAACAGCCTGGCACGTGCTGCTGCAGCTTTGCAGCACCTCCCATAGAAAGAAAAAATAGCAAACTTTGGTTTCTGTGTCTTTATTCCTCTCTCCCAACCAAATGGAAAGAYGCATACACATAGTCACTCGTCACTGTGTTTTGGACCTTGGCTCACATGCTCTCATTTCCTTATAAACTTCCAGAGTTAGTCTACGAGGCAGAGAAATTCTTAGTCACCATCACTGGAGAGTCAGCATAGCGGACAGCCCAAACTCAACAYCAGCCCTGAGGGGAAGCTTTCCAGATATCACCACAACCTTCCAAGCTGGTACTTTGCTGAACAGGCTCCTCTTTGGCAGTTTCTTATCACACAGCTTAGAAGCAGCTCCAAGCATTGGGTAGGAGGTGGTACCATCAAGGGGACTGAGCAAAGAGCCAAGAGTAAGAAACAAGAAGAAAACCACTGTGGTTGTGGTCAAACATAAACTTCTTTTCCCTTCAGTTTTCCTCTTGCAAAATAGACACAATAATATTTCCCTGTCAGAGAACACTGAATCAATTAAATGGTAACTCAGATTGATCATTTACACTGGTTTATAGAGCATGTTGCATTCTGCTGTTTTCCAGTCTTTGCAGTGAGCATATCCAGTCATCAATGTTTTCTCGCTTCTTGCTGCATTATTTTTAAAATTATTCCCATTGCCCATTGCCATAAAATTATTCCCATCCCCATTGCCCAGTATTTACCATGTTCATAGCCCCAGACCATCTCTCTCCATCACTTTTTGCCTTATGAASACAGACCAAGAAAAATAAAAGGCAAAGAAAATATCTTGGTGATTCTSGTTGCACAAGAAGGCTGCTTTCCTTGTGATATGGGTCTGCTGCACAAGCACTCTGYAGCATTGGGGTGAGCCAATCCCACCCAAGTAGGTGGGATTGTTCTAGCTTCTTCCACCACGGTTTTAGCTTCTTCCTTCCTCCTTACATTCTAGTCCATATCCAGTGAAAAAGGTTTTTTTTTTTTTAAAAAAAACAACTTTTTAATGTTATTTTCCCAAATAACATCATCTCCAAACTAAAGTAACACACCAACAAAAGTATTGAGCCGTACCTCAAATCTAAAGTACATATTTGCTTTGAAACTGCTGAGTCAATGAATGATCTTGATCATACATGGAAATATATATATAATATATATAAAAATCTAAAAGGCCATATGAAAAGATAAATAAAAGGCTGGACAAACAGAGAACATTCACTGTCTGTGAAACAGTGGCTGCAAATACTTTAGTGCCAAATGCTACAGTTTTTTCAAAAGATACGTACAATTTATTTTCAGGGAGTCATTAGTTAATTACTTCACCCTCTGCAATAGCCATGGTTTTCAGGACTYCCTTATGAAATTCTACTACTCATTCTCTGTTTTCAACTATYACCACTACACTACTACTACARAAAAAAAAATCCAAACACCCAGAAATTAATTTTATGCACTCTTTTACTTTAGGGAATGAACCTGTGATTACTGTAGAATCATGTTCCAGTAAAGTTTCATTGCAGACATCACATACAATCATTAATAAGAAGTTGATTTTGCTGCTATAGGCTAAAATTT